CAAACTGGCCTCTCCTTCGGAGGCTGCCTCTACAGTTGTTCGGCCGGCCTGCTACTGGACTCGGGAGCATCCTTACCGTGCTCCCTTTGCCGACCTGTATTATTACTATTATTATTATTCTGTACAAAGTTTCTTAGATATCCACGATGGATGAGCTCCTCTATCTCGTCGCGGAGGTTTTTACAACTTTCAGTACTGTGACCGTGATCTTTGTGAAAACTACAATACAGATTCTTATTTCTTTCATTGGGATTCCCCCTCAGACGGGGTGCCCACTTCACGTACGGGGCATCCTTGATTGCCATCAGGATTTCAGCCCGCTTTGCGTTCAGTGGGGTGTAATCAACTCGGTCCGCCACAGGGGGTCAGAAAAACTAACCCGGCTTTGCCCCCCGAGCTTTGTCCTTTTTCTTTCGGCTGTCCCCTTGACTGGAAACCTCTCCTTCCCTCTTCCTTTTTTCAGGCGCGCCCTCGCCCTTTTGGTTGATTTCCTCTTTGGTGGCAATGAACCTGTTCGCAAGTTTCAGAAACTCGGTTATGGTCGCTGGTTGGTTGACGACCATGTGCCATTTGAACTCTTTGTGTGTCACGCCTTTCTTGGCTGCTGCAAGGCATACAGCGGGGTCCAGGCGCGGTATCTGCATACAGGCATCATTGAACCGCTTGATATAGCCCCGGATGGACTCTCCCTCTCTCTACACTAGGTTGAGGAGGCTTTCTTCAGTTCGTGGGCACCGTTTGCTGGTGACGAAGTGGGACGCGAAGGTTTGTGCGAACTGCGCCCAACTTCTTATCGACCCAGGTGCCAAATTCCGGTACCACGTGCGGGCCGCTCCTCTAAAAGTAGTGAAGGCCACGCACATGCACGACTCACTGGCTCTCGCCAGGTGCATCTATGACTGAAAGGCATCTACATGATCATTCGGGTCAAACGACCCGTCATACTTGTCAAGAGGGGGGAGCTTGAAGTCTTTGGGCATTGGGACTGCCAAGAGTTTGGATGACAGGGGGGATGGAACCGAGAGGAGGGGAGCTTTGACTTCGGCCGAGCTTACCTCTTCTTTGCCCATGAGCTCGGGCAAATCGCGGGTGACAGATCGGCGAGCTCGGCGGTGGCGTCTCTGCTTCTTGGTGTGCTCGGCGTTTGTGTTGCTCACCTCTGCGCTGTCCGGAATGGTTTGTGCAAGAAGTAGCCCGGTCTGCTGGTGATGGCTGTGGACAGAGGGATCCCGCTTGGAGTCTGTTGCTAGGATCTCGAACCAGTTTTCAAACTTTGACTGCCAAGGTGATGTAGACCTGGCGAGCTGGGGTCCTCCCGACCTGTCCGCCTGCGGCGAGATCGGGGCTCGTCTGCCGCGGGGGGAGGCCTGGTTTTTTGGGAGGTTTTGGGGGGCCTCTCCTTGGCCAACGAGGTGCTCGTTCTGGCGGCGAGACTTAGCTTGCTGCGAGGCTGGGTGCCGAGGCGGGAACTGTGGCTGAAGTTGAGGTTGAGGCAATTGGGGGAACTGCTGCTAATACTGATACTGGGAGACCTGGTGCAGTACATGTTGTTGATAGAGCTGAAGTTGCTGGAACTGTTGCATTTGGGCTTGCATGGCCCGCATGCACTGCATCAAGTCCTCCAGTTGGTTTGGGCTGGCCGCTGGGGGCACGACCAGAGGTTCGATGAACGTCGCTCCGACTGTAGCAGGGAGTGAGGCGATGACAGGTGCCATTGTGAGAGGCACATTCAAGCTGGGGATTCCGTCCACTGAGAGGGGGACGGTGAACTGTCCGATACAGACGGTAGGAAGCTGGGGTTGTTCCCTGGAGTTATCCATTTTTGTGCTTCGTCCGACGTTGCTAGAGGAAGCCATGAGCGTTGGATTTTTTCAAGGAAGAAGAGAATTGTGAGGGTTTAGAGAGAAAGGCCTTTTGAAGCGTTTCCCACAGACAGCGCCAAATGATGCGGCGCAATCCGGTCACTCCTAGTTGGCACTCATGTGGCTCCTCGAAGACACCTGAGACAGGGAAGAATAAGAAGAATCCCTTGGGGGGCTGCTTGGCGGGGACACTCCGATGCTTAAGTTAGTACTCGGTAGAAGAAAGGGAAAGACGAAAGGCTAAGAGTGAGAATAGCGCGTTACCACTATGTTCAAGAGGTCAGAGATTCAAGAAGAAGTTTCTCTTCTGCCCTGAGGGATTTTATGGGGACACTCACATTAGGTCGAGCATAACCGCCACTGGGCTTCTTCCACAGCCGTTACCTGCCAGGGCTGCGCAGGTGGCTGTTGTGGCGTACGCCTCGCCCGGGTGAGTGACATGTTTCCAAATTGGCAGGCACGCCTTTGCCTGCTGAGAGACGTGGACACAGACTGTCGAAAGGACTGGGACTGCGCTGTCAGTAGAGGATAAGGCGCAGTCTGATCGGTACGGTCTGTCAGTCGGAAGCTTCTTGAAGAGTGCTAGTGCGGCTCATTTGCGAGCTATTTTGTGGCGAGCTTGAAACACTCCAGGATTGCCCTTAGTGGAATTGGTCCTCGGAATGACTTGTCTGGTAGGGAGCTCGGGCGAGCTAATAACTTTAGCTCGCGAGCTACAATTGCCTCGGAGTATCTCTTCAAAGATAGCACGGGGAACCTGGAGTTCGCCTCGCGGCGGACTCCTCCCCTCGTGAGTTGTATCGTAGCGGACTGCTTCGTGGGCCCGTCACTTGGTCTCTCCAGGCTTCAACGCTAGGCTGTCGCTCATGCTAAGTTGGCGTCTACGTGTCACCGCTTCATAGGTTGGGTCAAATCATCCTTCATCATAAATGAAGAAAAATCCTTCCTTTCTATTATGCTCTACCGATTTGCAAAGCGAAGCAAAGAGAACCCAAAAGAAATGAAACCCTTTTTTGGGTTGAGAGTGAAGAGAAAGAGAGACTGTTGAGGACTGGAAGTTATGAGCGACAGAGGAAGGGTGAAGATCGGCAAAATGAGAGAGAGAGAGAGAGACCCTAAATGAGCCTTTTTTTTTCTCTGGTACAGTAGTTAGGAGGGGCAATTTGGTCATGCAAATCGTATTTATGCTGACATTGACAACTTTGTTAGTGAATAAGGAAAGGTGAGTTTTGGAAAATAAAAACTCACTGACATGATGAGTTTTAGACATTTTGAAAAGTTATGGTGAGTTTAAGAGAAATTCTAAAAAAGTTATGGTAAATTTTAGACAATTTCCCTTAACAAATTCATAAGTAGAGGAGAATCAATAGAGCAGTTAATTAGTTACCTTCGTAAATGGCACGAGACAAAACTCTGCTTTCCATATCTCTTTTATTCCGGTGAATCCCATAAACACAACCAATGAGAGATTTTACTCAAACGACTTTGGCAAGTCAGGGTTGCTAAAATCATAAGTGGGGTGGCTTCCGATGGTTTAGGCTTCAGCAATATGAAGCAACCGACTTTGCCATTGTCAAAGACACCTCCAAATGTTGTTTCTGGAAAATAGACCTAAAGTCGGTGGTTCCATCTTTTTGCGAGAAATCACAAAGTTGAAGGGAAGAGAGAGAGATGGAGGGTAATATTGAATTTAAAATAAAAATAATGTCACATGTGTACAGATGTTGGTAGAGCATTAACGGAAATTAACAGTAGGGGTAGAATTAGTAAATTGTCAAAAACAGTAGGGATACTTTAAGACAGTACTAAAAATGTAGGGATATAATTATTAAATTTCCAAAACCTTAGGGGTAGTTTAAGAAATTTGCCCATTAAATAATTGGTTCAAGAGTGGTTCTACCTAATCCCAACTTATTGTCAACCTTAAGCCAAATTAGGGCCCACTATAATTATTTATTATTTGTAATAATATAGTTATAATTATTTTATTTAACAAAAAGATAATTTATTATTGCATGTCCAAATGGCATTTTCTATTTTGCCCCTACGAACCTGCTAATATATATACTTAAACATTCTATTTATCGTCCTCCAAAACATATGAACAGGTTTCAAAAGGTTCACACAAGCAATTGAATTCCAAGTAAAGATGATGACTAGTAGGGATGTCAATCAACCTGTTTTGGTTTGGATCCAATCCGATCAAAACCTTATCAGATTGGATTTGGACGGTCCATTATAATTATTGGATTTGGTCAATCCAAAATAAATTTGTCCATATTCTTATTGGTTTGAATTAGACCTAAACCGAATTTCCAATAATCAGATCATGAGGCCAAACTCATGTCCAATTTGAAATTAATCAAAACTTAAAACACAATAAAATCACTTTTATGAAAATGCTTTTATGAAAACATTTTTATAAAAGCACTTCTATGAAAAGTATTTTTACAAAAGCACTTTTATAAAAATACGTTTACAAAAGTATTTTTACAGTACTTTTATGAAAGCACTTTTACAGAAATAATTTATAAAAGCACTAATACAAAATCACTTTAATAAAAGTACTTTTATAAAAGCACTTTTACAAAAGTACTTTTATGAAAGCACTTTTACATGAAAACACTTTTACAAAAAATTTTTTACGGAAGTGCTTTTATGAAAACACTTTTAGAAAATCACTTTTATGAAAGAACTTTTACGAAAACACTTACGAAATTACTTTAGAAAAATACTTTTACAAAAGTACTTTTATAAAAGCCTATGGAAGTACTTTTCAAAGAGTGATTTTACAAAAACACTTTTCCGAAGTACTTTTATAAAAACACTTACACGAAAATACTTTTACAAAAGCACTTCTACAAAGTACTTTTATAAAAGTCTATGGAAGTACTTATCGAAAAGTGTTTTTACAAAAACACTTTTTCGGAGTACTTTCAATAAAATGCTTTTTCAATGCTAGAAGTGCTTTTATATAATTTTTGACATTTCATTCGGTTTGGATTGGATCCAATCCATTCCATTTACATTTTAATGGATTGGATTGGATTTGGACTGGATTGGCCCCATCCATTTATAAGGGGCTCACTTTCGACGAGATCAGGTTGGTCCAAATCCGTCCGATTGACACCTGACTAGTTAGAATTACAGAGGTAGGACTCACTAGAAACTATAATTACAATAAATCTCAATATTACAGCTTTTTTTGGGGGTAAATAATTCATACTATTCACAAATTTCCTAGTGAAATGAAAAATGAAAGAAAAAATACTACATAATAGGTGAGGAAACCAAGTAGATGTAGGATCCCTGAATCTCCAAACCACACTAATTGCTTCTTTTTCGTTTCCTTCATTTCCACCCCTCCCGTTTTAACTTCACGATTCATGAATATGCTTTCCTATAACGTACAAGTAGAAGATGGCAATACTTGGGAACTTCAGCTAAATTAACTTATTCATCTCTCCAAGTCCAGGCAAGAGGGAAAAATGCATGTCTTCTTCAGATACTCCATCTACCGTCTCCCAAAGGATTAAAGATCCAAGTCCCCTGCAGGCAACTACCATAACATAAATATAGCTTTTTTTCTCTGCAAAAATAAAAGAAACGAAAAAAAGGAACAAACACAAACGAATATCTACATAAATAGACAGGACGAGGGGGCATTTGCACTTTGGCTCTCACACGACAGGACACTATAAGGTGGAATAATTCAGGCAAATAGCAGTCCTAGGCTGTAAATATATATATATATATATATATATATATATCTCGAGAAACTTTAGGTATTACCAACTGAGATTAGAGCTGCAAGTTGATACTGTCAGACCACTTAAAGATGTCTGAGTAAACTCGATCACCCCCCAGCTCTTCTCCTGTAGCTCCTGCTGCCACTCTTATGATATCCTCAATCAGAGCAAAATTTCCCATTATGTCAACATGAGCACCACTCTGGGTCCCCCGGCCCTCTAAAAGATTGACTGGAGGAGCATGATCATATTCCCGAATGAAAGTCCGAATGCCTGAAGGATTGAACCTAGATTTCCCACGCCAAGCTTTTGCACACATGAAACCTGCACTTAGAACAGGCACAGTTTCATCTCCATCAACTGAAAACACTCCACCTTTGAGACGGCTACCCTCATTTTCACCCTCTGCCGAGGTATCTATCTGAAAGGGTATGTAGCATTCAGCAGCAGGGGTTAGCTTGTAAATATATGCTCTTTCTGTGGGAATGCCAACTCCATACATTGAATAGATTTCCATGTCAGGGGCATTTGGTAATCTGCAAAAACAATCCAGAAGAACAATTAATCATCATCTTGGCCTGAACCAGGACAACAATTAAATATAAAATATGTATCTCTGTTTGACGTCCTTCGAGAATATGCAAGCAAAGCAATGGGTATGTCTACTTCTCTCGTCTCTAGAGCTATCTACAGTAAAAGGCTAAATCTTTGCAAACCATATTCCCAGTAATAAAAAGGCAGAAAAATGTATCTTAAAAAATAAGAGCAACAATCAACGCCCCATGGGATGTTGAGTGGTTCATGGGATGTTGTTGAAAAATAGTAGAGTACCAATCTCTAGAAAAAACAGAATTCTCAAAAATTAAAATCAATAACAAAAATAACATATAGATACTGACTTGGTTTCCAAAGGATTTGACCAATATTTGTAGTGATTGTATTTGGGGTCATCCAAATTCTCAGCAATCCCATATGAAAAATGAGCATCTCCACGTTTCATCATCTTTGGAGCAACAAAATGAAGCAGATCCAAAATTGATCCAGCTGTGTAAGCTTTATAGTCTCCTACAGCTTTAATACCTCCCCAGCCCATGTCATGGTACTCTGTCCATACATCACGACAGGTTGTATTTCCAAGGTTATTACCCTTAACAGCATCCTGTACATTAACAAATAACTAAGCACAAAATGCTAAAACTGTGAAGATGTCGATTATTATAAATCATAATATGTAATTAAGTAAAACTAAATGACAAATTTCAGTCAGCAGAATTTTCCAACTGCTAATATTCCCATTATAGTAAGGAAAAAAAAAGCTCCATCAACAACAACACAACAGTCTCAAGTTATACATTGCTGGACTTCTTTCCAAAGGAAACATATGTTGATATGATAGTGAAGCAAACCCGTGACATTAATAGTTGTGTTATGACTTGTTAAAGCACACCTCTTATTTAGAATCAATTCTTATATATTAGCTCATCATTAACTGCCTTTGACTGATCAACTCCAACAATATTCTTCAACAAGAGAAGTGGATGGATTCTGTTAACATTTTTTTCTCAGTTGGCATGCATATTTTTTTCACGATGTGACAGGAGAAAAACAAACTTGACAATCCTGATCAGTGAATAAAACCACAGTAGGAGGAAATGCTTATCATTATAGAATAGATGTTCTAACATCAACAAAATCATGATACAACACATTAGAGAGAAGAGAGAGAAAGGTAAAGATCATTTGAAATTAGTAGGAAATAATGATGAGCAAAAATAAAAAAGACCCCGAACATAACAACACACTGAGATAAAAGGATAAAGTGGTTATTGTTTGTAAGTTGGAGTCTGAGAGAGGCTACTTGGTGCTAAAATGCCTGAAGCTAGGATGTATCCAGTAATCCCTCCCAATACCCTGAATAGCTGGGAAGGATGCAGCATGGAATCCAGGAGAATTCAGCATTTAGGTATACGGTTGTTATCCAAAAGAGTCCAACTATGCTATCAGAAAGGCATGATACTTAAAAACCGGTATCATAAAATCGGTAACCAATCATAAAATGGTTGGAAAATAGGTAGGGTTGGAGTGTCAGTCACCCATCTTCAATTTGTAGATGATTTCTTAGTTTTCAGTGGAGGGAACCTTGAGCAGGTAAGGAATCTAAAGACAGTGGTGAAAAGGTTTGAAAGTATGTCCAACCTGAGAGTTAAACTTGCAGAGGTGGAGGCAATTGCAGGGTGTTTAGAGTGTTCTATAGCTTCTTGGCCTTTGACTTACCTGGGTCTTCCGATAGAGGTGGAGCCACCCTAACTAACCTACCTACTAATTTTTTGTCAATCTTTAGGATTCCCTATAGGAAATCTAAGAAGCTAGAAAAGTTGATGAGGGACTTCCTTTGGGAACTGGGAGAAAGTAGGAACGATCACCTGGTGAAGTGGGAGGTGGTATGCAGAAGTAAAGAAGAGGGAGATCTAGGATTAGGGAACTTATTGCAAAAGAATATGGCCTTGTTGGGGAAATGGCTATGGAGATGGCCATTAGAGAGAGAAAGATTGTGGTATGAGGTGATAGGAAGTATTCATGGCCACTCAGAGAACGGATGGGATGCTGGGGTTTCTCAACGGGCAACTTTAGCAACACGCCAACACCTTGGAAGGCAATCCACAGTATTCTCCCTCAACAATTTTCTCAGGTATGATGTGTGTACTGGTAATTCGGTTTTGTTTTGGGAAGACATTTGGGTTGAAGAGGTTCCGTTGAACTTGAAGGACCTCTTTTCGTCCTTATTCTCTATCTCTCTGTATAAGAAAGAGCATGTTTCTTCTTTTTGTTCCCCTTTGAAATCTCCTTTGACCCCAGTCTGGGACTTTAGGTTCCAAAGAGGTCTAAGGAATAAGGAAATTGCAATTCTAAATGGCCTATTGAATTCTCTTGAAAAAGTTTGCTTGGATCCCACAGAACTAGATAAAAGGTTTTGGACTCTTGTGCCTCAAGTAATTTTTCTTGTGCTTCTTTCTTCAAGGCCCAGTGTCGTCCACTGTCTTTTCTTTCTTTCCCTTTTAAGGAGGTTTGGTGTAAGCCTATTCCCCCTAAGGTCTTGGCTTTCTGTTGGGAAGTGTTTCATTGGAAAGTAAATACCTTTGATAATCTACAAAGGAGAAGGCCCTCTTCTGCATCTCACCCAATTGGTGTACTCTTTGCAAATCCTTTGGTGAGGACTGCAACCATTTACTAATTTCCTGTACTGTTACGGCAGATTTGTGGGATTGGGACTACTCTTGATTTTTGGATGCAGGTGGAATAGGCCAGCAGATGTAAGCAGGCTTTTTGACCCTTCTACCTTTGTTTGGCGCCATCAAAGAGGAAGAATAATGTGGAGGGTTGCAAGAGCAGCCTTGCTTTGGACAGTGTGGGAAGAAAGGAATGCCAGAATAATCCAAGAGTAGGTGTGAAGCCAGCAAGATATGAAGGAATGTATCCTATACAGGGCTATAATGTCGCTAAAATCTCTAGATTTATTTCAGCAATTCTTTTTTAATGACCTGTGGAGGCATTGGGCAGAAGTGGCAAGCAGTTCCTCTCTGAAGACAAAGATGCACATGAGCTGGGTACCCCCACCTGAAGGATTCATGAAGTTAAATTTTGATGGTAGTAGTCTGGGCAATCCAGATCTTTCTGGGATGGGAGGGGTTATAAGGAAAGTAAGTGGTTCTGTAACTTTTCTGTTTTCAGGTCCTTTGGGTGAAGGGGACTCCACGAGGGCAGAATTATTAGCTGCAATACAAGGGGTACAGTTTGCTGTACAGCTAGGAGTGGAGCAGCTACTAATAAAAGGTGATTCTCAGGTGGTTGTGGGGTGGCTACTGGCTACAAAAACCAAAGACTACAGTTTGGTGCTTCAAAATGAACTTAAAAGATTCAAATGCTTGATGAGGAATTTGGATGTCAGAATACAATGGGTAGAGAGATTTGCCAATGCTATGCTGATTGTTTAGCCAAGCAAGGGGCAAATAGGGAAAATCTGTATTGGGCTCAATTGTAATCCTTTTTAGTTCTTGATGATGATGGGTTGGATAGGTTGCAGCTTGTACCTCTCCAAGTGTATTCTGTAACAGTGGTTTATTCCATTAATAAATTCTTCATTTATCAAACAAAAAAAATCGGTGGGGGTCTGATTGGTCAAAATTCTTCCAGTATCATAAATATTGCCTGTCCAGAGTTATAATGGACCGCTTAGGAGCAACTGATTATGAAGATTCTACTAAGGTAGAACTTTTAGCCCCTCAGATAGGTTCATTCTTTCAATTACAGAAAATGATATAGGAAATTAGGGAGGTTGTGGGATGGATCAGAAATGAAAACCCAGGTAATTTGCAATATAAAACACTTTTCGAGAGAAGCAAGAAGATTAGCAGCACAGATGGGAACAATATTTAATTGGATTCATTGAGCTGCAAAAGTTTAGTCAATGCTTTGGCTAAATGAAGAGTGCAAAGAAGATAATTGTGTGGGGGAAATATGTAAGATGTATGGATCAAGATGCTTAGGTGGCTGCAGCCAACCAATTAGCCTTTAATGGGTGCCTGGCAGTTATTATACTTGTAAGCAAATATTTTTTTCTATGTTAATAAATATTGAAGCAGTTCACTTAATAATTAGATTCTGATCTCTATCTACATATTTAGAAATTGAAGTGACCATCCTATTAATTAAACAAGGTGAACATAGAAGGAGGAGAGGAGAATTATTAGCCAATTGCAAAAATAATTCCCAGAATCTTATAACCCCACTTTCTATCCAAACAGGTAAGGGTGTGGAAAGTGGAAACTAGAAAATTACCCAAAAATCCATCCTCTCGATTTTGGACGAATGTTCCTCTGCCACCTCTTTCCCAAATGATATGATTCTTCCATAGTTCACTCTTTTTGGATAGCTAAGACCCTCTGTCCCACTTTGGCCTGCAACCTGAGTTTCATTATTTCTTTGTCTTTGTGGATTACAGGCATAACCTTCCTCTGGAGACCAGTCCATATTACCCCAGATAGTGTCTCCGCCTTTTGGTATCATTGACATGGTTGAATCCCATGTACGGGTCATCTGCATAAAATGCTGTAAAGCTTGAAGACCAAATACATCCTTGTCCAAAAAAACAGGTGCAATAGCCCTGCACAAGGGTAGCATTTGGTTGGGATCTCAAAACATGTTACAGTCAAATAAATATACAGATATGTACAACAAAAATCATCAAGTGTAGAGATGGCAAGTACATCTAGAACACAAGTTAGAATCATCACATGAAGGGATGGAAAATATAAACTAGGAGTACCTAAATGATGAGCATCGATGTAATCTTGGAAACAAAACTTGCACCCCTAGAAATGAGAATGATGTCATAAAAAAATCATAAAATTTGAAGCAATAAACACATCTATAAACAAAAAAGACCCCTTGAACAAGAGACCGGATCTGTTACCCATACCTATACACAAGACACTACACCTGCACATCACAAACATGTTACATACTTGTATGTTGTCATTGATGGGGTTGTACATGATATTGTGTGTAGCAGATCTGGACTACGTGGATGATGAACAACAGCCAAGGCCCTTGGTGTGTTAGCAAATTTTGTTCAGAAGTATCATGCAAGGCTGGCAGGTAGGATAAGACATAAAGCATCTAACTCCAATGAGATTATTTCTAAGTAGCCAAAACTAGATGGGAACAAGAAAGCAAGTCTTTTCTAGAGCACAATTCCAATTGCAATCTACTGGGGCTTATGGAAAGACAGAAATAGAAGAGCATTTGAAGATAAAAATAGAAACATCAAAAAGAGTATGCATAATAATAGGGTCAATGATCATGAATTCAGAAAGATGCCTAAGTTATCTTTCCATTCGATTTGTGGTCATCTCTTGATTTCATTTGATGTAATAGATTTTTTATTCATATTTTACTTTATTGGTAAATCCTGTATATAATGATGATCTCAGATGGCTGAGTTAGGACTCAGCAGAAAGATTAATGTACATTTATTTTAAAAAAAATCTTTTCTTACAAAAGGGTAATTATGATGCTCTAACTGGAACCGAAGTTGAATCTATAGTCATGGTCTGTAAAGATAATTTGAGATCTCTATGTACCTTCAGCTCCTTGTGTCCTCATCTATATTGAGTTTTGTCTGAGATTGTGTCTGTTAACAATGAGCTCTTTATTTATGAGTACAAGAAAGTATAAAATCCTTTTTTATCAGTAACTATTTAGGATTTTATACATATGACAAAGAAATGACAGTATACATCAGTACAATGCCAACACCCCTAGGAGGTAGCTAGGCTTGGCTAACTGCCTCTTAAATATTTAAATTACATTCAACCTCCCAGAAGGGGGTTTGACAGTGTGGGTGTGAAAGTGAGTGTTTGTGTGTGTATATACACATAGTGATAGAGGGAGTATTTTCTTTTATTTTAATAAAATTTCACTTTTGCTACAATCATTATCATCCAAGCCTTATCGCAACAACATAGGGTCGACTACATGAATCCTGTTTCGTCATTCCATCCATTTAATGCCATATCCATTGTTAAATTATTGGCACTTAAATCATTTCTTACAACTTATACCATGTCCTTTTTGGTCTAGCCCTAGCCCTTCTAGCCACTTCAACTTGCAAGGTGCATGGCATCAAAGTGCAAAAGCCACCAAAAAAGAAAAAAACAGCAGGCATTTAATAAATTTGAATAGATTAGATTTTAAACTTACCATGTCAGGAAGAAGACAGGATCAGTTAAATAAATGACTAGTCCCATAAGCTCATCGGTGCCCATGTGAAAAAAGAAAATCCAGTATAGTTTACAGTGAAACAAAAATATAAATCATTTAAAAAAAAGAAAAGAAAAAGATAAGCCTGATTTCATTAACGAGAAAGAAGGGGGGAGATACCACCCAAAGCAAGTACAAAAACACTGGTTCAATTGCTGTGCAACAAGGTTCAAAGTATCAATTCGATACACCCCATATTAGGCATATGGTATTGTATTGTAGGGTTTCCGATACACCTGCTTAAAGGTGTTTTCAGGAAATAACTTCTTATTTATTAAATAATATAAAAAAAAACATATGTAAAATGAAATCTTGAAAAAAACACTAAAAAAATTAAAACACGTGGGGTAAAAAGTATCGATACACCCCTGCTGATACATTAGAGTCTATCGATACTTTAAACCATGCCTTGCAAACAGTGTAAAAAATGTCATCATAGGCCCATTGATGGTGATTTGTTTGGATTAAATGATAAGCCTTTACACTTTTAAGAATGTAAAATTAGGACTAAAGATTTAATTACCCCACTATGAAACAAGTATCTAACAAAATTTTAAACATCATCCAAAAGCAAAACATAATGAGAATTGAAGATAACTGCAGAATATTAAAAACTGCATGGTAGGTAAGCAGAACAGAACCTGGCAACAGCAATATCTTTGGCTTCAGCAGAGAAAAGTCCCGAGACTGCTTTTGGCACACCCAAAAATGGTCCACCAATGTTCATAACTGCCTTTATATGCTTAGCACACCAATCTGACCCACCCCCACCGCCCATTGGAGCTGGTGCCTCAACCCACTTCATGAAATGTAAAAAATACAGAACTCCCATTGAATGTGGAATAACAACGACCTTTCTCCCACCATTTGTAGCTACCATAAGTTCTATATTACTTTTTATCCTGCTCAAGGTATGGTCTCGCACCTGGTCAATGGAGTTTCAACAGAATTGTATAAATTTTCCTTTTCTTTTCTGCTGGGGAGGAGGGATATTTTAAAGTTATAGTATAAAAAGACAAACTAGCAATTGGAAAAAAATAAAATTAAAAAGAAAGAATGAAATTTAAGAAATGCTGCAATTAAGTACAAAATATAAAAAAGTATATAGTTTGCTGTGAAAATCCCAAAGCACAACATGATGATGGAAAAGAAGATAAAATCCTGTACAAAAGAACCATTACTCAAAAGAATACCTCAGTGTTCTGAAATGAGAGCCTCCAGTCATATGCAGCCATGTACATGGTTTTCTCCTCATACCCAATGCGGGCCAAATTGGCAATTAGAACCGCCCAGACAAAATAGCCAGGTGCAAAGTAATCTGCTGCCACAAGTCCTGGGACAGGCCTAACTCTTATACCAGAAGGATCAAGTCCAGTTTCATTGTCTAGTGACATGTGTTCAACCCAGCATAAGGGTCTGCAGAAGTTTGAAGTGAAAACATACAAACTGTAAAAACTTGATATATTTAATGTATAAAACAGAAAAAATTAAAGCTAATGTCACTAACCACTGTATGCAACAATATCCACAGTTATGAAGCAATTAAAAAAAAGGAGAATATTATGCAACAATCATATCTAAGATATGCAATTTGTCTGACCTCACATAGAAAGAATGGCTAGTTTTTCTTTTCTTTTGGCTCCATTGGGCTACACAATGGGGGGTAGCCCATTCCCCAAAACCATAACCCCCAAACCTGGATGTATATGGGATTCAATCCCAAGTCTCTGCTACAACCAGCCGGATACCTTACACTAACCAACTTGTTACACCTTCCTAGAAATACTGGCTAGTTAAACATATACAAATACAATCATGAGTAGAGTATCTTTGGTACAAGAACCAAATTGGCAACAAGATAATTAACAGCACCATCGCAAGAATTAGGAAATTGATAAAGAAAATTACCAATAATTAGGGAAGAGCACAAAGGAGTTGAAATTTTAACTCTCTCAATGTCACAATAAATAGAACCGTAAAACTGAAGATCTTGAAACATTAAACTAATGTGTCAAATAAACTGATCCAAATTTTGACCATAGTAGCCCTTATAAATGGCATTCATTTCCAAACTCTCATCTTGTGCTGGCCAATACAGGATTTCTGATATGGTTGGGTTACTTCACAGTTATCTAGGTCATTACCTAGAATTGGATATGGACCTACCCACCAACATCTTTAGCACGAAGTGATTGCTTTCACACTTGAATATGTGTTCTCAGTTGTCACCCTTGTCAACCCAAGATTTTAGCATCACTCATATAACATATGCAGCTATCCGCCTAAGTCAGCATAGATAAAGGCATGCAGAAACATAGTTCACCAATTTCCTTTCTAATCATTGTTTTATTATCTTTATATTTTAAATGAACACCATGTTGTAGATTTTGTACTCAATCTATTAAGTAATGTCTAAAGCCCTTCTCCCACAAAACAATTAGTTAAAAGTCCTCCATCTCGGAAAAGAATATGACACCTAGGGAGGATCCAAAAGAGAATACAGAAAAGGATCAATTTCAGTGACCACATCACCCACTCCGGAGAGAAGCAAAATGTCTTAAACTACGTTAAACTGAAAGCTCTGGCAAAGATGCCATTTTTAAGCTAAAGAAACTTTTTCTTGAAAGAATTAGCTGGTTTCTAACATTCCATTTGAGAGCACCCAAAATTAATCAGAAACAGAGTGAAATGGATATAAAGTGGAAATTGCAACATAAAATTGGTGACCATTACTTGGAACAACTTGGCGAACAATTAAAAACCATGTTGTCATCTACCACACTGATCAAACTTTGTTAAAGTTGCTACCGATCAATGGTTTAGGAAAAAAACCTCTTGTAGACTTCTCCAAATGTCCCGCCCCAAAGCCGTTTTCTGAACAGCCCATCAGCGCACTGATGCCCTTCCCAAAGCTCGAGTCCGCCGGTGACGATGCCCGGAACGAACACCACCGGGTGCTTCACTGTCAAGCCTTCTTTCTGCAATTTTACGCCAGGTGGATCGGGCAATGGTCCGTTAATGGCTTCGGTCACATACTGAGGGAAAGACGCCGGCATAGCATTATAGAGAAAGAGTAGAAACCACCCAATCGAGCAGATGCAACCAATCAACCAGCAGCAACTATCGATGCAAGACCATTTCTTCTTTTTCTCCTCTACCTTCCTCTTCGAAATCTTATCCTTCTTCTCATCTTCGACGCCTTTATATTTTGTCTCTTTATGAGTATCCTCTTTAGAAGCTTTTTCAGTTTCAGAGGCTTTTCTGCGCCTCAGTATCGACATATTCGTCTACTTCTTCCTTTCCTTGTTTCTACTTTTAAGTTTCCGATACCCTACTATCGATGCTAAACCAGAAGAAGCTTCGACGATTTATGGTAATAGGTGGGATAAATGGTTTATAGAACTTCGCCCAGTTCGCAATTTCGCATGATGTTCTTAAACCCTAACCCTATATTTAACCGGTAGTATTGGTCTTTACACTGTTTGCTGTTGCAGCGGCAACAAAACCACCGGTTAAATCTAGGATAGAGCCGCCGGAGCCATGAAACCGATGAAAAGCTAGACCTAGGCAAGCTTTTGAGCGGCAGAGATATTCTGGAATCTGTATGGTCATCGTGGGTCCCACCGTGAGATGCTGGACAAGCTTACACGTGGCATGGTACAATCAGATGAGGCATTTATACAATCAGACGGTCCAGAAAAACAGCAGCATTGTCGAACTTGAAACTGAACCTCGTGGTCGTGGAAGGAAAGACCATTATCTTGGAATTTTGGGCAATTAACGGACCACAGTTGGCAGTTGGCACACAGATTCGGAGTACACATAAGGAAAAGAACCGTCGGGTGAGAATCATTTATCTCCTTCCAGTAGATGCATGCAGCATGCTCAACGTGATCACGTGAATAAGTTCAGTTGTTCACTCTTCCACATATTCTAACGTCTAACGATTATTAAAAAAAACGAAAAATAGGTTCCAAAACAAGGGTCTCCCCACAGTTCTATTTTATTCCTTTATTTGGTTCGAGTTTCGAGTAGGGAGTTAGGAGAAATGGGAGTTGCGAACATGTCACGTACTCACGTTGGGTAAGAATAAGAAACCAAGTAAAGATACTTTTGTAAACGTTGACTCAATCCTCTTTCTATTTTCTACTTTGCATTTGTTTTCTCAAAGCTGTTTCCACTTTCCACTTTACATTTGCGATAACAATGTGGGTATGTATAATGTAAGGGTAAATTTCTTAAACTACCCTTGTCGTTTAGTTAATTGATTAAATATACATTTTGTTTGTAAATTGATTAACACTATCTTTAATGTTTATGATAATTGATTAACTCTACTCTTATCGTTAAGATCCATTAATATTCTGTCAAAATTCATTGGCATGTGATATATATTTTTTTAAAACCCAATTTTACCCTCCACCTCCCTCCCCCTCTTTCTCTCTCCCCTTCTTTTTCCTGATTGATTCAATCCTCTCCCTCCCTCTTTCTCTACTATTCACCACTCTAGTTAGATCGCTCTGGTCAGAAACCCTGTTGCAGGGTAGTGGTATTCATAAGCTCATAACACTTTTAGTGTTCAGTCGCAGAAAGTAAGCCGTGTTAAGCTACCAAGCCCGGTCATCTTCCACAACGACCGCTTAGTCCAAAACCCAACTCCTCTCCTAGGGCTAACAATGGCACTCTTGGTTTGATGAGCATTTGCAGCATCAAGAGGAAAAGGCCGCGACTGGTAAAGTTTGAAGAAGAATCCAATCGGAGTCATCCAATTTTTTCCAAATGCAAACAAGGGTTTTGCCGAGGGAGATTTTCATTAACTTCCAATTGAGCCCCATAAAGGTTATCGTTTTTGGAGTTTTTTTGTTCAATTTTGAAGATTATGAAGTCACTGATTTTAAATCCATTTTCAGCGGTCTGCTTTCGCTCTTCCAATCGATGGTATTATCCATAGTAGTGGGAGTTTTGTTCCTACAGTGAGTCGATCACATTCAAATGGTAGTGACAATGTGAGCACTGTTTTTATTGGAACAAAAGAGAGATCTGTGAAGTTAATGGAGTGCTTAATCGTGGCTTAGCTTGTCTATGTCTTCAGAATCTGGAAATCGTTGGATTTCCAGACAATCAAAGTATGTGTGGTGGATTGAAGTGGTTAAAGTCCACCTCGTTCTGGCCGTCTTCTCCTTCATCCTCTGAAGAAAGAAAAACCCCCATGAAAAGCATGAATCACCTGACTATAGAAACCGAAGATTCTTTATAGAGTTTACTTGAGCTCGCGGCTAACAATGATGTTGAAGGCTTCAAGAGTTCGTTGGAGAGTGGTGCCTCTTCTATCAATGAGATTGGTCTTTGGTATGTCCACCAGAAAGGCTCGGTTGCTGCAACTTATGGTAGTATTGATGTCTTCAAGCTAATCTTTGCTCTGTCTGAGGCTGATATAAATCATTACTATGGCCCGGATAAGAGCACTGTTCTCCACCATGCTGCCTCCAGTGGATCTGTAAACGTTGTAGATGTTGTGAAGCTGCTTTTGTTGGTTTTTCTATTCGAGAGCAATGGTTCTGATGATTTTTCTATTGGAGAGCTCAGTTTGCGGGTTTCCACAACCACATCGAATTCAAATTCACCCCCTTTGTCATCATCCCCTGAGAATGGATCTCCGTCTGCCTCAGACTCGACTTCATCTCCCATGATCAAGTCTCTAAAGTCTTTAAGGGGTGTTATGCTTTCCCCTTTCATTTGTTTTATTTTGAAAATTTGAAAAAGAATAAAGAGTAAAATCATCTTTTTAATCTTTTTATTAATATTAATGGGTGCTAACGGTAAGGAAAGTATTAATCAATTGTCAGAAAACAATGATAATAACAGTAGTGTTGGTCAATTTTTAAATAATAAGAGTACACTTAATCAATTAACTAAACCATAAGAGCAGTTTAAAAAATTTAATCATAATATAATTGCCTCGGTCTCACGTCTAGACAACCGTCCCAACCTTTCTCCCTGTTTTCGTGTACATGATATTCAATTAATTTCGATTTGGTTGTTGACAGTATTACTTAATTAATATACAAGACGATAGTTTAGTTGTACCTGTAGGTGCAAACTATTGCATCATAATCATAATTAATTGATCCAGTTCAACAAAGTCCGATTTTATAGGTTTGGCTTATGAAAGCAAAAATGATATAATGTGCAATGACTAATCACCATTATTAATTAGCAGCATAGAACGACCCATAGACCAGTCAAATATGAATCTTAATGGCTGAGACCACATGATATAATCTCTTCATCAGTCAGATACGTCACAGCCTTGACCGTCACCAACAAGACTTGGACTTAACATCCGCAGGCCCACTGGGCGAACCAATTCGAGCCCAAACCGAAATTTTATTGGACTTAGATTTTCAAATTTCAATCTTTGAGCCGTCTGGTTCCTATCTCTCTGAACCTTCAATTTTTCTTTTATATATTTTGACCGGATCAGGCTTGATTCTCAGATAATTCAAACTCGAAGCAGTGTTTGGCTGCATTTGGCATTTTTTATTTTAAGAATTTATCTTTTTTTTTTATAGTTAAAATGCCCTATAAATACTGATTTTTTAATAACAAAAGGAGATAATCCTTAAATTAAGAAATACCAAATATCCCATCAAAACCAATCAGAATTTAACTTAACTACATATATACACGTAGATACATAAAAATAGTCCAATCTAACAGCTCGGATAGGTTAAGGATTAATTTTTACACATTAGAGCCTATACGCCCATCCAATCTTGAATGATCAACTTCAGCTTAAATCCAGTCCAAGTTGAGCCTGGTAGGATGGATTGAACTTGAATTTAGGCTTGAGCCTTAAACCAAATTATTATAGTTGTGCCCAGTTTAACTATAAACCCAACCCACCCCACACCAAATTGCACAGGTGCAGGGGACTATTTTAGGGATGGGGATCTAAGTTAACTCGAGCAAAAATCAATCCCGACACAGCTCGAGTTATTGAACCCCCGAACCATAACTCTGACTCTACCCAATCTGCTCTGAGCTAGGTTGAGCTTTGACAGGGTTTGGGTTGGTCTGGTTTCCTCATTTTATTTTACTAAACTATTTTTCACTTCTTAGACTAGATAAAGTGGATTAAGGTTAGGGATGCAAGCAATTAAGGCAAAAACAAAAGAACAAAGTATTACGGATGCAAGTCAGGACAGGTTAAATTGGTTTGAGTCTTTGAGATCAATTCTAATCAGATTGAAGTCGTGAAATCCCAACCCAAACCCAACTTTAAATGACAGAAGTTTCGATCCGGCATTCATCTTAACACATAGTTTTAAATTTCAGAAAATTCTTATAAAATAAAGGGAAAAATTTTCGATTAGTACCTACTTTGAGTCTAGTGCCACTTTGGTCTCCAAACTTTAAAATGCGACAATTCAGTACCCGAACTTTCAAAACATGACAATCCAACACCTATCATTAAGTAGCCGCTAACCAGCCGTTAAGTAGCATTTGAAAAATACACAAATGCCCTTTAAGTGTCGTCTAATTTTCTTTATTAACAATCCCAACATTGACAAAAAATTAGCAGTCCCAAATCCTTGCCTCTTCTATTCAAGAAAGTTGGGGTCACCAGAATGCCCACACAAACATGACTCTAATTTGTTTGAATGGAACATACAAGGATTTGAGATTATTAATTTTTTGTCAATGTTTGAATGGTTGATAAAGAAAATTAGATGACACTCAAAGGACATTTATATCTTTTTCAATGCCACTTAACGACTGATTAACAGCTAGTTAACGATAGATACCGGATTGTCACGTTTTGAAAGTTTGAGTACTAAATTGTCACATTTTAAAAATTAGGAACCAAAATGGCACTAAACTCAAAATACAGGGTACTAATCGGGAATTTGACTGCATTTATTTCACAGAGTTTATATAAATATATCAAATTTAATTAATATAATTTAAGTATTCGTGGACATGACAATGAATATAACATAATGCCAACACATAATTCATGCAACCCCATATAAATGGTACAAACGTATGGAAAAAACCTATGATGATGAAGATGATGATCATAATTGACTAATATAAAAAAATATAAATCTCGAAAGGGTTATAAAATGCTAAAAAGTTAATTAAATTCATATGATTTTATCAAATAATTGGTATAACTCTTTTCTATTTTCCAAAATAACAACTTCATATACGATGCTTTCCATGGTTGAAAAATTCATGAAATTTTCCCATATAATTAAAAGTCCTATAAATACTTACTATAACGGATTGGGCATTATTTTTGCCTAATGTTGACTTGCAGCTTTTTTATTTTTGTACACAATATTCAAGACAATTTTTTTAATAATAGGGAAAATTCCTGATAGGTACTTTGTACTTAGGCCGAGTATCAATTTAGTACCCGGATTTTCATTTTGTGACAATCTAGTACCTACCGTTAAGGACTGTCAGTTATATATATCACGTGACTTTATGTGCAATCTAAGACTTTTAAAAATATCAAAATTACCCTTGCACATTGTTCATCATTTTCTTTTTGAAGAAAATGAAACAGAGCC